TTTTGATCACATGCAGACAGCATTTCCTATCTGCAATTTCCTGATTTTGTACTCTGTTTTCTTTTTTCATGAGGATTTTCTGAAAGCCCTTTATCGGGGGTTTTGGCTTTCATGGATTTTACCGCTCTTTTGAAGGGCTCGATCATGGATTACGAACTCGGGTTTGGGTTTTACACTATCGGGCTGTTGTTTAAGCTACTTCCTCAATTTCTTTGCATTTTTCTGTTCTTTGGATTTGGAATGAAATTGTTGTGCTCCGATAGGTTCGTTAGGGTTTTGGTTCGATTTGTGTGTGATTCGAGAAACTGGTTTTGCTCAGAAAACGCTGCTGATGGTGATAAAAAGGGGATGCTTTTGCAAAAACCAAACCCTGATACTGATTTAGTTGATTTCGATTCTGATGATGAATTTGATGATGCCGAAAACTGGGAAGACGATGAAAATTGGTGTAAGGATGAAGATTTGGAGTCCGATTTGTGGAAATTGATGAAAATTTCGAAAATGGAGAGGCGCAGAGCCAATGCAGCTTTATCCGAGCTTGCTAAAGAACGAGCAGCTTCAGCTTCTGCAGCCGAGGAGGCCATGGCCATGATCTTACGCCTTCAGAACGAAAAGAGCTTGATCGAACTCGAGTCGAGCCAGTACAAGAGATTGGCAGAGGAAAAGCAGATTCACGACCAAGAAGTAATTAGGTCCTTGCGGTGGCTCGTCTGGAGGCACGAATCAGAAAGGAGCCTACTGGAAGACCAGCTCAAATACTGCCGGAAAAAATTGAAGCTCTGTTCAAGTGTCCAACATGAAGATGATGAGGAAGCTCGAATGAGCTCGTTCAACGGTAACATTCTGGACACTCTTGAAAATGTGCTTTATAGCTCGCGTGACCCGAATTTGCTGTCTCCTTGAGTTTAGTTTGTGGAATTTCTTTAGCTTTGTGTGATGAAGGAATCTTGATCTGGGTAATACTTGTAGAATTACTTTGATGATGATGGATACGTGTTAATAGAGAACATTATTATGCATCTAATGGTCCCCCCATCAATCATATGTGAATGATTTTGTGTACTCTACTAATAATGTTGACCAGTATAATATGCCTGAACTATATTTCTCTGCTTTTAAGATTTAGATTGTATGGGACTTGGGTTATATTGTTCTTCAATGCGCACGATTATCATCACATATAAAAATGTACTACTTGATGCTTGCATGTGTACCAAGGTCAACTGGAAATTAAATTATATGATGATGATGATGGTGGTATACAAATTGCCTAATCGTTTAGTACATGCACGAGGGGAAAAATGGAAATTGCAAAGATAAAAAGAATTTTAAACGGCAAAATTTTATTTTTGGTCTAATATAGTGATCATTTTTTGAAAAAGTTTCATCCTAAAGTGCCTTTTCAATAAAGGTCCACGATATTGCTACTTTAATCAAGTTTCATACATTTTTCGAGATGGATTGACATGGACACATTAATTTATGTATGTTGTGGACACTTTAATTTTTTCCACCTAATTTTTTCTTTAAAGTTATTTTAATTATAAAATTAAAATAATCACTTCCTCGGCACCTCATTGTTCGATTGCTCGCCGTCGGTCATTGGCGGCGGGGTTGCACTAGGTCCGTTCGATGAGGGGCACGCTAGTCGACGGCCATTCTTCTTCGAAGAAGGTGGTCGAAGGAGTGTTGTCAACGGGCTGTGATGCAGGCTGTTACGATTTAATATAAAATAATAATAGTAACTGGGCAACCTCAACTGCCATTTGACCACCCGAGGGAGGTCGTCGGGTTAACGTGGTTCTGGGAATCTGCGGCTGGCCAGAGGTTGAGTAACGGAGGCGGATGGGTGAAGACGAGACTGAAATAGGATTTGGGATTGCATGCGCTCTTTTTTGAAAATTTGATAAGTTCTAGGGACTATTTTACAATTTTAAAAGTTTTAGTTAATTGCAACTAAGGCCTAGGGTAAATCTGCGATTTTGAGAATTTTTAAGAAACTGCACTCTGGTCCTTGGGGCTTGTTTATAATTTTTTAAAAACTCTGCATCCATCCACGTCACAAATTAATCCTTGCACGTCAGAAATTAATCCATCCACGTCAGCATGTTATTATTCATACTGAAAATTGTATGAAACTTGATTAAAGTAGCAACAACGTGGACCTTTTTTGAAGACGTCCTATATGATGATTTTTTTTTTTTCGAAAAATGACAAACATTGTGGATTAAAAATGAAAATTTGCCACTTTTAAACCATACATTATGATTCGGAATTATTATTGGGGTTACGGCTATAGCACCCCCGACCACCTATCCGAACCCTCACGCCTATAGCACCCTCGACTAATCGGCCAGCTGACCGGTTCCCAGTAAAACCGACCAGTCTCGTGTGATTTTCTAAACCATGTTATGAGCTGCTTTTATGCTTTATAAGTAATAGAAAATATGATCTTTGGTGTGATACCATACACTATTATCTATAATATAAAATAAATGGATATTTGCATTGATATATCAATAAAATACAAACACTACTTTTGGCTAATTATAATTCTTCTTCAAAACAAAAGTAAAGTTTATATTAAATCAAAACCTTTAGATTGAAATTATTGTTCTACCCTTCATTTAAAATTAAAATTTCAAAATTTGCCCTATAGTATTTTACACGAAACATTCAGTAGAAGCTTGTTCAGCTCCTCATCCTTCATCATCGCCAATTGGATTTGCCTGGACACAAAATTAATCCTAATACCTAATCATATTAAAGGGGCCACAATTCAGTAAACCCCCAATTGATGTTCTTTGTCCCATAAATAAAAAAGCCCCCAATTGATGTTAGATATTGATTAATTTGTTTGTCTCACATCGGATGTATACCAAAGATGTGTAGGATCTTATTAGTATAAATATGTCCCTTGCCTTTGGGTTACAATTGCACCTTATTCTATTCTCTCCTCTCTTATAAGGAAATCCTAATTTGTGGGTTATTTAACCCTAGTTGTATTTTGTTGGTGAGTTTAGTAAATTTGGCGTTGCGGTTGGCGGTGCCCGAAGACATAGGCTATTTTCGTCGAACTCCGTTATCAATTTTTGTGTTCTTTTTCTTTCTCGTCTTTTATTTGGCTTATTTTTATTTGGAGTAGTGCTTGCCATATTTGTTGGAGGGGTATTGTTGTCCGCTGCGTTTGGTGTTCTACCCCAACAAGTTGTATCAGAGTCGAAGGTTCGCCCTAGGCTTATTCGAAGAGGCGAGCACTGCATTCGGGTTCGAGATGTCCAAGGAGGTCAAGGGCGCATCATCCTCTGCATTTATTCCGACAAGGACAGTGATACCGAACGTCAGACTCCCGGTGGAGATCTTTGATGGGACCGGTCATTTCGGCATGTGGCAAGGCGAGGTGCTGGATTACCTATATCAGCAAGGCGTCGACATTGCCAACCGACGTTGAAGAGAAGGACTGGAAGAATATCAACCGCTTAACATGTGGGACAATTCGTTCGTGTTTGTCGAAGGAGCAGAAGTACGCGTTCAAGAATGAGAATCCTGCCCACACTCTGTGGAAGGCTTTGGAGGATAAATTTATGAAGAAAAGCAGCCAGAATAAGCTCCTCATGAAGAAGAGATTGTTCCGATTTGAGTACCAGCATCGCACATCGATGAATGACCACGTCACTGCATTCAATCAATTGGTTGCAGATTTGTTGAATTTGGACGTCACATTCAGCGATGAAGATTTGGCTCTCATGTTGTTATCATCACTTCCAGACGACTTCGAGCACTTGGAGACTACTTTGCTCCATGGGAAGGACGATGTTACTCTTGCAGTGGTACATGGATAGAGTCCCATATGCAAATGCAGTTGGCAGTTTGATGTATGCGATGGTGTGTACAAGGCCCGACATTTCACAAGCAGTTGGTGTTGTTAGCAGGTATATGCATGACCTTGGTAAAGGTCATTGGCAAGCTGTGAAATGGATTCTACGGTACATTCATAATACTGTAAACGTTGGATTAGTTTATGAGCAGAATGAAGTTGGTCAATGTGTAGTTGGATATTGTGACTCTGACTACGCGGGTGATTTGGATAAGTGAAGATCAACAACTAGATATTTGTTCAGTTTTTCAAAAGCTCCATTCAGTTGGAAGTCTACTTTAGACCATCTTTAACGGTGACCCCATGAGTTGGGTCACGAATTAAAAAAACAAAAAATATAAAAAATAAAAAATAAAAGAAAAACAAGGAAGGTCACGAAAAGTGAGCGACCCAGGTCACATTGTGACCTTGGGTCGCGTTGGAGAATGGACATTTATCCTATTTTGATTGGATAAGTGTATTTTTTTTTGTTTAAAAAAAAAAATGATATTAAAATTTGTATTTTTTCATTCTCTACAAATAGAGACCACACTTGATATATTTTAGAATAAAATTGTAATTTTTAAATAAATTAAATTTAATATAAAATAAATATTTAGGTTGAGTTGGGTTGGGGATAAAGATAAATTAAGTTGTAAGGTTGAGTTATGTAGGTGGAGGAGAGAGAAATAATTTTTAATTATTAGGTTGGGTTGGGTTGGGTTGGGGATAATGATAGTCTTACAGTCAACAGTTGCTTTGTCTACAACAGAGGCAGAATATATGGCGGTTACTGAAGCTGTGAAGGAGGCTATTTGGCTTCAAAGTTTGCTTGAAGACTTGAGAGTTGGTCTAAAGCACGTCTTAGTGCATTGTGACAGTCAGAGCGCTAATCACTTAATGAAAAATCAAGTATTTCATGCAAGAACGAAGCATATTGATGTTCGCTATCACTTTGTGCGGGAGATTCTAGAAGATGGAACCGTTGTGTTGAAGAAGATCAAGACGACGAAGAATCCTGCAGATATGATGACCGAGGTAGTGACAACAGTCAAGTTTGAACATTGTTTGGACTTTACTAACATTCTGCATATTTGAGTTGGCGCCGAGAGGCGCATTTGGAGGCACCGCCAGTAGTTGATTTAGATTGAAGAGTTGAAGTGGGAGTAAAATTAGTCAAGGTGGAGAATTGTTAGATATTGATTAATTTGTTTGTCCCACATCGGATGTATACCAAAGATGTATATGATCTTATTAGTATAAATAGGTCTGTTGCCTTTGGGTTACAATTGCACCTTATTCTATTCTCTCTCTCTTAGAAGGAAAACCTTAATTAAGGAAATCCTAATTTGTGGGTTATTTAACCCTAGTTGTATTTTGTTGATGAGTTTAGTAAATTTGGCATTGCGGTTGGCGGTGCCCGGAGACGTAGGCTATTTTCACCGAACTCCGTTATCAATTTTTGTGTTCTTTTTCTTTCTTGTCTTTTATTTGGCTTATTTTCATTTGGAGTAGTGCTTGCCATATTTGTTGGAGGGGTATTTTTGTCCGCTGCGTTTGGTGTTCTACCCCAACAATTGACAGGGAAAAATAGCCCAACAGTCAAAATTGATTGAATCAAAAAAATTGACGGCGTTGGCGGTATTAAGAGATTTACCTCGATGGCGAGGTAGGAGGAGTGACTGCGGGGCGACGGTGGGGGACCAGGCGTTCACTCTATTTTTTTCTTATTCCAAACGAATTTTGAAGGTGGCTCTACATAATTAAGCTCTCTGACTTATGGGTACTTTTTATTCGCCTCAATTGACACTAGAAACTGACTCACATACACACTTGGTTTATTCACAACATCCTTTATATCGTCATCATATTCGAAAACAATGTTCTGCTGGCCTTTAATTTGGAAGCTCAGTCGTTGTACTGTAGGCCTCTTGTACTGCCAACTCAAAACCAAGCAACCACAGGCCGCCTCACATCAACAAAAGAAATCTACAAGTGTATGTAAAATGCAATCGATTTTCGTATAAATACGCCTAAAAAAGTAACATAAGGTGTTTTTATTACAAAAACATGACATATTTTTAATAATTTTGTTTTAATTCGTTTTGCACCTTAAACATTTAAGAAAATATAATACTTTGAATTTTTACACATAACAGTAGTGGTATTATTGCAGTCAAATTGAATCGAATACGTCGTGTTCGAACTTGTGCTCGTTCAATAAATGAACATGTTTGGCTTGGATCATTTAATACATGGGGTGTGATCAATTAAGCTCCGTTCATTTGAATTAAATTTTTATTTTATAATTTATTATATGAATGAATCAAGATTAACTTTACGAGTCGACTGAGTTATACTCCTTATCAGATCGATTAGCCCAGAGTAAGAATATTTCTGGCTATGCCCTGATTTGATACCCAAAATACATGCAAAGTTTATATTGATATTTAAATAAATAAATTGAACTCTTTTTGCCTTCTTAATTTTTCTTTTTGTTTCCCCAATGGCCATCACCAATTTTCGGGCTATGGGTGGGGTTTTACCGACCCGTTGACGAATGCCACGGTTTTAGAGAGAAACATTCGGACAAAAGAAACAAAAAAATGAGATAAAATTAGGGTTATCGCTATCTCCAGTTCTCCATCGTTGCTTCCACACTGCGTACAGAAAAATAAAAAAGAAAATATCCCGAGGAGAAAATAATATCACTAAAAACCGTTTTCATTTCTCTGACCGGAAAAGTGAACCTCGCCGTTGCCGTTCAGTCCCCTTCGAACTCCCAATTTGCCGGTAAAACCGTCTTCTAAATTTTAAAAAATTTGGGACTATAATTCACGATGAACCCAATTTGATTAGTGACTTTTCTTGGAAAGAAAACAAGTGCCTAAGTGCTTGTGATCGTAAAGCTTCATTTTATTGTCCTTAAAAAAAATAAAAATAAGAAACGTTGTAGATTTTCAGCTGTGTAAGGGTAATGCGGGTTGTGGAGGATCATCCAAAAGATTTTGAGTTTACTTGCTGCTGAGTGTTTGTCACTTATATCTTGTGCTCTTGCTAGTTGTTTCATGTTTTGATCCTGGTGGGTGTAATGATTGTACCATTTTTGCTGTTCTAGCTCCATGACCATTTTTCTGAAATGAAATGTGGCTTTATTTTGCTCGTATGTAAAATATCTAAATAAATATTTTCGTCAAAAATGTGACGGGTCGACCCGCCTAACGGTTTGGCCACCTCATACAAGAATTTGTGATAAATAAATAAGTTTACATATGTATATTATTGCCCGTGATGGAATGCATTTGTGAAATGTAGTTTTGCTATGGCAGAGTTGATCGTTTAGTTTGTGCTTACAGAACTTTAGGTATTATTTATAAAACAATTGGTGTACTGGATTTTAAGAATGTAAAATTAGGAATGAAGAAGAAATTTTCCTGCCTTATGCTGATCGGCCAATCGCTAGTGCTATGGATGGGTTGATAAGATTGCGATAAAAACCACAAAATAAAGAATCGCTTGTGGTGTTAAATGCACTTGCAGTTCGAGATAGCGAAGAATTATGCTTATCTGATTGTATTTGTTTTCAAAATGAAAAAACATTCTGTAGATATATCTAAACTTCCAGTAGAATTCGAATTCATATGGTCATTTTGCATCTTCACATCTTGGTGACTGTTTGACACAACCCTGACATAATTAACCGAACTGCATTTTTCAAGATAGACTTGCCAAGTGTTCAATTATTAGTCAGCCACAATGTCCATCACCATCCTAATAATCATCGTTGAAAACTCGAAATTGTTCGCACTTTGGTTTGAAACCATGAAGTCATACCGAAATCATCATACACGTGTTATCAAGAATCTGCATGCTTCTATTTAGCTCATACATCTCTATCTAACTATTTGCTTCATATGCATACATATATATATACACACAATTTTCAGTCAAATGGAGCTCGATGAGACTCCACAGATGCTCCCTCCCCCTCCCGGCAGCTTTATCGACCGTGAAGAACTTATTCAGCATGTTGGTGAGTTTGCAGTCTCACAAGGCTATGTTGTCACAATCAAACAGTCCAAAAAGGAAAGAATCGTGGTCCTTGGATGTGACAGAGGCGGTGTTTATCGGGACAGGCGTAAGCCCGTTGACGAGGCCCAATCTGAGCCCATTAGGAAAAGGAAGTCCGGTTCGCGGCTTACAAACTGCCCTTTTGAGCTCGTGGGCAAGAAGGAGGATGGCCTGTGGGTCCTCTCTGTTAAGAACGGCTCACACAATCACGAGCCGATGAAGGACATGTCAGAACATCCTTCTGCCCGTAGGTTCAATGAGAAGGAAATTATACTGATTAAAGAAATGACGGAGGCCGGGTTGAAGCCACGTCAGATTCTGAAGAAGCTGAGGCAGACGAATCCCGAGCTTTCGTCTACGCCTAAGCATGTTTATAACGTGAAGGCTAAGCTGCGTCAGGGGAATCTCACTGGTATGAGTTTCCTCTTTTTTTTTTTTTTTTTTTTTNCGGGTGTAAGTTTTACTTTTTGTTGTTACTGTTTAGATTCCTCGCGGTGGATATGTTCTATAATTGTTATAGTTGTTTATGAGTTCAAATAGCTATCACAGATTCAGAGCGGATGATTATAGAAAATTTCCTTCTGTGAGATTTTTCTTGATTTTTGAAACCTCTTCTATAATATTAGTGAGAGATAGAAACCAGAGTGGTCAGTGGTGATGAAAATGGACCTGTGCAATTCTGATCCTTTTATCATGTCACTGAATTTTATTTTCTCACAGTCCAAAGGTAGAGAACCGAATGTAATCGCTGTTAAAGCATTTTATTATGTCATATGAGACAGTGAGAAGACTGAAGACATTGACACCCTTTGCAGCAGTTGAGGCTTACTCTGAACCATCATCATCTTCAGAGCCATCATGGAAGAGACGTTATCCACCGGTAATTTTTATTTTTTATTATCACGTCTAATGTGTTTATTTTTTATTAAGTATTAATTTCATGTCTTGCAGAGGGTCCCGAACCTCATTGGTGGTAGATTTATCGATTCACAATCATTAACTTCCATAGATGTATTAAACCCTGTGAGTGATGAAAAAATTTACTTGTGCTACGAGTCTGCGTTTTGTAATTTTCTGCTGCTAAATTAGTTTGTGAATCAATCACAGGCTACACAGCAAGTGGTTGCGCAAGTCCCCTTATCCACAGGTGAGGAACTTAAGGCTGCAGTATTTGCAGCGAAAAGAGCTTTCACGTTATGGCGAAATACTCCCGTTACAACTCGCCAACGCATTATGTTCAAGCTTCAAGAGCTTATCCGCCGAGATATTGTAAACTTGTTGCACTCTTTTTTTTCCCCAGTTGCAGCTTTTGAATATTCAAGTATCTGGAGTCAACTGTAAATTGTTCTCCAGGATAAGCTTGCTGGGGTTATAACAGCAGAACAGGGCAAAACTTTGAAGGATGCCTTTAATGATGTGTCCCGTGGGATTGGTAAGTTCATATGGTACCTGGAATTTAAACATAGGTTTTTCTATGTAGATGGACTGAATTGAAACTTTAAAAATAGTTTATATATACACTTAAAATCATCATCATCAACAACAACAACAACAACAACATGCCCAGTATATTCTCAACAGGTTCGTGTCTGGGGGGTCAGTGAAAATCATTTCATTATTTTATGTTTATTGCAGAGCTTGTTGAACAAGCTTGTGGGATGGCAAATTTGCATGCCGGGGACTTCTTGTCAAATATATCAAATGGAATTGACACTTATAGCATCCGTGAGCCCCTTGGCATTTGTGCTGGGATATGCTCTTTCAATTTTCCTGCCATGATCCCATTACTTGTATGCTTTTATCTCTCTCACTGCACTACTAAAGTATCACTATGATGATTCTGTTAACTGTAACTTGTTACGATATAGTTTTCTGCAAAAGTGTGAACAATAGTAGAGATCATCAGAGTTGCTGCTGGATTGCTCTTATACAAACTGGGAAAACAGAATTGATTCCCGAAAGTGAATTCCTAACATATCCTTAACATCACATACTGGCATTTTCAGTGCATCGACAGCCATTATCTAAAAAATCCAACAGAGTATATATATTAATTTCTAACTGGAAATTGAGGTTGAGAATGGAATTCTGTTGCTTGTTGACTGCAAAAAGTACATGTGAATTGTGAAAACGCTCCTGGTGAAATTTAAAATTATGTTTTTCTTAATGTTATTCTCTTGAAACTACTTTCGAGCCTCTTAATTCTGTGGTTCTCTTATTCTCACTGCTCAGCAATTCTTCTGCAGATGTTTCCAGTAGCTGTTACGTGTGGCAATACCTTTATATTAAAGCCATCCGAGAAAGCACCAGGTACACACGCACATAAAAGNTTTTTCGTTTTTTTTGTTTTTAAAAGTTTTATAATTGTTGATATGAAATAATTTTTGTTAATGTAATCATCTTTTTGGCTTTGGTTATGTTGAATGTGCCCTCAATTCTGGCGTTCCTTTACCACTTGGTTTCAGTTTTACATTCTTCTTAAGCTTTATAATCTGCTGATATATCCATATATGTTTTCAGGGGCTTGTGTACATCTTGCTGAGTTAGCAATGGAGGCTGGTTTGCCAAGCGGGGTCCTAAATATTATTCATGGGACTAATGTATGCAGTGAGCTTGCGTTAGGATCTCTCTTTTGATTTTTGTTTTATGTCAACGAATTTAGGAATATGGGCACTTTCTGTTAAATCTTGTTTATCTATTTGTATGGTTGTCCAACCTTTCTCTGCTTTCACTTCATATATCTGCTTCAGTGAATATAGTGCAAAGAATTGTTTTTTATCTTTTAATTTTTTTAGGTTCTTTTTATTAGTGCGTTCATACAACTAATTTATTTGCTTATTTTATTTCGATATTGTGTAGGACATAATCGATGCCATCTGTGATGATGATGAAATCAAAGCTGTGTCTTACATTGGATCAGATGCTGTGAGTTTCTTTTAGCGTCTTATTGTACCTTTTTGCCTCTTAGTCATTTGTGAGTTAACATTATAGAAAGCCTCACATGATTTTTCTCACTCAGCCCGGTATGTATGTTCATGCAAAGGCATCAGCCAACTATAAACATGTTCAGGTAAAATAAAATAACTTCTCTTCAGTTCATCAATGGACTGTGGTTTTGCTTAGTGGTCCTTGATCTTTTTCTTCAGACAAATGTTGGTGCAAGGAGTCTTGCTGTCATCATGCCAGATGCAAATATGGATGCTACTTTAAATGCTTTAGTTTCTGCCGGTTTTGGTTCTGCAGTACAGAGGTGTACAGCAATCAGTACAGTTATTTTTGTTGGAGGATCAAATTCCTGGTATGTAACTAACGATAATATCACGATTTCAGCCTTGGTATTTATGTATAATTTATTTTTTCATCTATAATACTTACTATATAAAATTTTCTTTCTAATCTTAGATTGTGCAATGTCTTATGTTCTGATACTTCAATTGCTTTATCGTATTTTTGGACAACTTTATTATAAAGCATTTTTACACAGACTCCCATGTGGAAAATAATATTATTTTGGAATATTTTAATTCCCTCAGGATAGACAAGCTCGTGGAGCGGGCCATGAGTCTGAAGGTAGGTGCTGGAAGTGAACCAGGTGTGGACATTGGTCCTGTGATCAGCAAGCAGGTTAGATAGTGAATAATTTTGCTTCTTAATGCTGAAATATTTTCATCTTCTTTTTTCCAAATTATAGTATACAGTTTTGCTTCATAATCTCCATTAGCTGGTATATTCAGGTTAAGGAGCGAATATCCAGAGTCATCCAAACATTTGTTGAGAATGGTGCTCGATTAGTTCTTGATGGGAGAAATATTGTGGTATGTCGTGAAATTTTCTCTTCAATGTTCCTTTTGTTTTTCCTTTTTTTTTTTTTTTTCCCATATTATGATTTTTTTTATACTAACAGTTTATGTTGCTCTGTTTTGTTATGCTGTCTAATTTTTGTAGGTTCCCAGGTTTGAGCTTGGGAACTTTGTTGGGCCGACAATCTTAACTGATGTCAGAGAGGACATGGTTTGTTACAAGGTATATATATTTTGCTTTAACGCATGAGAGACTCGATTTCGAGTTATGGAACTAAATACGATGATCTGATGTACACAGGAAGAAATTTTGGGTCCGGTTCTTCTTTGCATGAAGGTTTGTTTTTAAAGGATATACATTTCTGTTTTATTACATAGTACTTGGTAAGTTACAGATATACCCTTGAGCCACATTAACTTGTGTCTTTTCTTGAACTTTTTGTTTTCAGGCTAGATGCTTAGATGAGGCAATAGGAATTGTCAACAGAAACAAGTACATGGTCTTCCTTGGTCATTAGTACATCGCAATATTATTTAACGATCGGCTTTGACTTTATTTTTATTTTCTTTTTTAATGTTTTGAGCAGAAATGGAAATGGAGCTTCTATTTTTACATCTTCCTGTGCCACTGCAAGGAAATTTCAGTTTGAGATTGAGTCTGGGCAGGCAAGTTTCTTTGACGACTTTCTTTAGGAAACTACTGAATTTGTTTACATTAAATTTCATTTTTGTTATTAATTTTTTTCATTTTTGTGCTGAATAGTTTTTTTGGTTTTCTGTTGTTTGGGACTAATTTGTTTCGGATTCAGATTGGTGTGAACGTAGCTATCGCAGCCCCATTGCCTTTGTTCTCGTTTGCCGGCTCCAAAGCTTCATTTACCGGAGATATCAATATTTACGGTAAACACGCTAGATACACACTCGCCCTCAACGGCATATTTCTTTCAATGAAATACTTTACATTTTCCAGTCTAAAATTACAAGATATTCAAAACTACAATTTACCCCCATGATATTTTCCTTCTTTTTCCCAAATATCACCCATTTGAGGGCCAGTAAGGCAGGCCTCATGGTTAGACAAACGTATTTTTTCAACAGATATGCATACTTTCTTTCCAACAACTGAACAAAGTTCTTGTATGAGATGGCCTCTACCCATTTGACGGGTCGACCCATCACACCTAGTGTTGCTGAATTAAACAAATCGGCTCGAGCTCGATAAGGCTCGAAAATAGAATTTTTTTTATAATTTCTATAGTTCGGCTTGTTAAAGCTCGAGATCGGCTCGAACTCGACTCGTTATTATTGATAAATAAGCCAAGCTCGAGCTCGATTTCAGGATCGTTTATTTAACGAGTCGAGCTCGAGCACCCTAAGCTCGAGATCGACTCGGCTCGTTTACAGGTATGAAAGTTCGTGATAGTAGCTGCAAACTGAAATGTCATTCTACACATCAACATAAACGAAAAAAGTAGGCCATTATTGTACAAATGTATGTATGTGGGAGACCCACAGGTCGGTCGGTCGGTCGATCTGTCTAACAGTTAGGCCGCCGAATTTGTTCTCACGAACTGCAGGCAAGACCGGAATCCAGTTCTACACCCGGACGAAAACCGTGACCCAACAGTGGAGGGACCTCACCAACCGTGGGGCCCACCACCCAGTGTCCGACACGAATGATGATGACGAGGAGCACCACGTGGACTTCCCTCCGGTTGGTGGGGAATTCTCGAGTGGGGTGGTCGTGTCCTTGCCGTTTGGCGGTGGGGCCCACCACCAAATGCCCTCGAGGGATTTCTTGAGCAGCCAAGGGGAGTCGATGGTGGAGCCCACGCACGGTATGCCCGTCGTCGGGGACGGGATCTCCTCGATTCCCGCGCTTGATGCGTCCCAATGGGCCGTTCATTTTTAGCTCTTCTCTCTTTTCTCTTTTCTCTCATACGTATTGTGGGCTGAAGCAACTGGGATATGGCCCAACTCCTATATGAGTTACTTACTTCATTTGCTCGTCTGTTTCT